AAGAACTTGAAATTTAGGAAAATTTTTTATATTTTGCACAGAAATAGTTATGTTACTGTGGTAATGTTAATTTCTGAATGCAGATAACAAAATTTATTTTTTAAGACATTTTTTTATGTTTATACATTCTTTTATAGATACAAATATTTAAGTAAATGCTCTGTTTATAATAACAGACATTTACCGGCTTGAATGTCCGAGAAATAATTCATAGAAAATATTATATCCTCCGACAGGAATCGAACCTTTTCCTATACGGAACCGTCATATAGCCTGACGTGCCTTAACCAAATTGGGCCACAGAAGGATTCGGTTAGCAAGGTCGAATCACTGTTTTAAAACAATTTCCATGATTTTCTCTCATACATTTATATCTGTATGCTCAATGCGTATCCAAATGTAAACAAATGACGTCACACATTATGAAATGGACAAAAGTCCGACAATTATTTTTTTTAAAGACATTTTTTATGTTTATAAATTTATATTTGTTTGTACAAGACCTGCTGCCTGAATTTTTAAGGAAATTTTTGTACCGTCTGGCTGGATAGCTTTTCTTGTGCGTGATAGAAATTAAAATAGATTATCAAACTAAGGAAAAATTTAAATCAACTTATATTAAAAAATGGTTTATATATCTGCTTAAACTCAATTTCTAAAGAATTTCTTAATGTAAAAGTTAAACGTGATCTTGAAAAGTTTGAATCACAAATTTTTAAATTTTTAAAAAAATTTATTTAAATGTAAATTTGGTAATTTACCGAAACAAAATTATCAGATCAGGAAAAAGGCATTCTTAGGGTCTGGGACATTTAATGAATAAAAAAATGAGGAGAATCTGATACTCATGTTCAAATAAAATGAAAAAAGAAAGAAAGGAAAATTTATATTTGACATATATATATATATATAATATATATGGATGACAGAACGTGGTCTAGGGAAGGTAGCAGAGGGAAGGAACTTGTTGAGAGCTTCAAGGGATAGAAGGATGTGGAGAGCTATTTCGCCTATGTTTGAAAGGACACGGAAAATAGTACTAAGAAAGAAAGGAGAATTATTGATAAATTTCTGCCGTGATGTGTTGAATGAATATTCATTCAATGTATCGTGACTGAATAAAAACTAAATGTGTTGTTATTTAAAGTTTTAACTTTTAAACCTTTCATTGGAAAAAGAAATTTAAAAATTACAAAATTTGAAATTGTGAAAAAAATTTACATCAAATGCAACGTTGTAAAAGATGTTTATTTGAATATGAGTCCTTTTGATTTCAAACACATTTGTGCCGTTCTTAAACCCAAAGCACGTTTTTTTTTTCATCTCACTTGTTGACCAGGTTTTGTCTTCAATTAATAATCACTTTTTTCAGCTGTCCCAGTGGAATGAAATTTATGGATTCATTCAAAATTCAGACTTCTTTTTAAATGCAGTGAAGAGTGGGAATCTAGAAGTGCACTGCAATCGACTTCACACAAAAATGGATGACGTTAAAATCGAAGAATTACCCCATCAGATTAAGAGATTTGCCTCAATTCTTAAACGGGAATTAGACATCATGGATAAAAAAAATATAAAAAAAACGGAAGCTAAGAAGTGTCCATGATTTTTTAGATTACATTTTTTTAAATAACACATTAAAATTGACACTTACCTGAACTTGTTCTTGCATTGCGAGTGTCGAACACACCAGTTCTGTTGCAAGTGTCGAAAGAATCCCACCTAAAACTAAGAATAATAAAAAAATATCTACGATCAGTCAATGAATGATGAAAACATGCGGAATAGCAAAATAATCTATTGAAAATTAACGTAGGTCCCTTGTGTTATAATGCCTTTTCAAGTTCTAAGCATTGAAAAATCAAGGATAGTGGATAGCAGCTTAGGATTGAAGATCGGAGAGTGAAATTCGAATCCAGTCAAATCCATTACATTCATTTATGATGCTTTATACACCTTGGGAAAGATATGAATCCTCTTCTTCTCCCCCAGCTATGGGTAAAAAAGGACAGACCGGGTTCTATAGCCTTGGATGGCAACCGGTCTACCGCAGAAAGAAATGACAACCTATTGCGGGAAAAAATCTGCCTCGTCAAGCATGTATCAAAAGATACATGATCGCCTAAGCATTTATCACGCATAGCACATAACTGACTGACTGAAGCATCGAAAAAAATCACATGTAAAGTTCTATTTTACACCACTGAATGCATCAATCAGCTGCAGATAAAGTTCTGTCATTTATGCAATTGTATCAAATCGGTCTGACAATTTTTTAACTGTTAAACGAAAAACCATTTTAATATTCCCGTAAAAATAACACGTGTAATGTACAAGTTCATAGTAAAGAGGATAAAAAGGTTTCAAATGAAATTGTTTTTTTTTTGGCGGTGTCATTGTCGTAGTCTAAGTTTGTCAACGCTGTCGAAGAATAATATCCTTCATGAAAATTACTAAAATTTTTTTGCGTGGAACTTGGTGACAGCTGTAACATCCTTGTTTGGGGCAGATTTCGTATGTTTTATACATTTTTTCGTAAAAAATCTACATTTCAAATTAAATTATTTTTCCTAATTGGCCCTAAAATCCATTATTATAGTCTAATTAAGTACAATAAAATTTTTCATTTTCGTATCCCGAAAACTAATTTTAAAATTCAACGAAAAACCAAGTAGAACGATTTACACACTATTTGAATTATATACTTATATTTTATATATATATATATATATATATATATATATATATATAAATATATATCCAACGACATTCTTCCCAGGTAGCCACAAGTTCAGTTATGATAAAATAAAAAGTTTTTTCACGAAAAAAATAGTTTTTTAGCAACGATATTTAGTGTCATTGAATGGATGTTCTCTTGGGTATATTTTAGGAATAGTATACTTGGTCCAAGTCGCTAAAGAAATTAACAGAGAGTAGCACCGGTACAACCAGCATTGTAGCCTATATATATATATATATATATATATATAATAATATATATTATATATAAAACATTTATAAGAGAAATTTTCTCTGGTCCCAAATTAGAGCCTGTGATAAAATAAAAACAAAATTACCGGATATAAGAGACTTCTCCGGTCCCGACAACTCTCTTATATCCAGGTTACACTGTGTGTGTGTATATATATATATATATATATATATATATAAAATAGTATTTATTTTCAGTTTTTCTAGTTGAATTGTTTACATAAGATAATATGATCCATTACTGTGTACATAATTAAATTACAATAAAATTTTCATTTTATAGGAATGCTGTAAAAATTGCAGAGGTTTTAGTAACTCCAATTTCTGAATTTTTTTATACAGCAAAAAGCGAAATTCAATATTTTCTGTCTCCATATCATTTTCTCTTTCTTTCTCCACTGTGTCTATCATTTTCTTTCTCTCCCCCTTCTATCTGTCTGTCTCTCTCTGTCTGTGTACTGATTTTTTTTTTCTTTTTTGCTACACACGGACAGTGGGGAAAGTTAGGCACAATGAGTTGAACTGTTAAAACATCTTACTAAAAATGTACAAATGCATTTATTTAGCTATGAATCGTAATAGAGGAAACTGAAACAATTTGTTTTGTTTTTCTTTTTGGTTCAAATGCATGACATGACTATGTGAAAGAGACGCTAAACCATGTATCAATATAAATAGTGGATTCTCATTCGTCAAACGTTTACGGAAAAGTTCCACCCCTAGCCTACCATTAACCATAAAAACCCTAAATTGACCTTAATTTTTCCGTCATACTAACCGCAAAATAGTACATCAAGTCCTGTCTTGCATTAGCACTTTTTTGTTGGGGCAGAAAATTCAGTTTGTCCGATGTTTTTTCATGTGTTGTGTTGGAATCTTTGTAAAACTTTTTTTTCGGCTGAGATACGTCAGCGATTAATCTTTATGGAAAAGTAAAAATTTGCGATTAAACATTTGTTTTCGAGTAAAATTTAGTCATGAAAATATTGGTGGCAGTGTAACCCAGATATAAGAGACCCGGATATAAGAGAAACCCGGATATAAGAGAGATTTTTCTGGTCCCAAATTAGAGCCTGTGTTAGAATGTATATAAATTAGAAAGTTAAACCCGGATATAAGAGACGACTTCTCCGGTCCCGACAACTCTTATATCCAAAAATACTGTACAAAAAAAGAATAACATGTTTTAGATTTAAAAAAAAAAAAAAAAACTATTCATTATAAAAGTAAATAATGAATAAGGACTGAAATTTTTATTTAAATTGGATGATACCCTGATTTTTGGTAATTTAAAAAAACGAAACGCTACCTTCCCCTCTAATTTTCATACGACGGCTTGTAGCCCCCAGGCTGGGAAAATTTTTAAATAGACATGTAGTTGAGATGGGGGGGGGCTAATATTTGTTTCAAATCAGATTAATTTAACTTTAAATTTGCTAATTTTCCTCAAATAACATTTCAGAAATATATATTTTTGCAAGATTTTTCAAACCGTGAATTAACTTTTGTTTACAAATGTGTCAAAAATGGCCGTTTTGATAGATTTTACTGAAAAAGAAAAAAAATATATCGATACTGATCAATATAATTTCTGATTGAATACACTTACTGGAAATAGTAAATTTTAAATCCTTTAGCATACAATTAAAGCTAAAATCAAATTATCCACTGGGCCACGTGTCTTTGACGAAATAAAGGGTTCGGTTCAAAATTCCATTCACCTGAAGAAGGCCATAGTGTACAATGGCCAAAATGTGAATATGTCAATGAAGATGAGAATAACAGTCTGAATAATGTAAATAATCATAATACCTCATCTCAGTGATATAGACAGAGCTTCAAGAATGCTTTTTCATTTTTAAAAATTCATTTTAAACCTTACGCAAACTGAATTAGTGGAGGTACCTAATAAAGAGTAATCAAAAAAAAAAAAAAAAAAAAAACACCAAGAAGGCCTATATTACATTAAAATAAAATTTAAAATACTATGAAATTTATTACTATTTAAATTAGGCATAGATATTTTGGTAGCCAAAACAAAATAAAAAAAAAGGGTTTACCTCATTCAAGAAGTGGGTGGAATTTGGGGTTGATACTTCGCTTGTGTGGAAGAAAATGGTTTTATCATCTGGAAGAAAATAAAGAAAATCATAAATTATTCAACTACGAAATACAAGAGTAATAATGTGAAAGATTCTTTTGTTCAGTTTCCAGAAAAATTTAAGAGAAATAAAAGTGTAAGAAGTAATGAATGAATTTCTGCCTGAATGAGGTGTTCTCCAGTAATAGACTAAACTTCATTATATATATATATATATATATATATATATATATATCAAGGGTGTTCCAATAACTTTGACTGATTTTAAATATGAATTAAGTTTAAGTGTCTAATGATTTTTTTTTTTTTTTTTCAGATTTGGCAGACATTTTGTCAATATTATTTTTTCACACATAATTTCCATGACTTAAATAACATGATCCAATTGAGAAATAAATAAATTTTCACCAATAACATTGATTTATTTACTGCTGATTTTGATCCATCTTAATGAATCACACTTTTATATATATATATATATATATATATATATATATATATATATAATGAAAAAAAAACAGACCACTTTAAGGTACCATTACAATAATTTATTTCACCAAAATCCTTTTAAAAGGATTTCGGGTCAACAGGTAACAGGATTTAAAAAAGGATTTTGGTGAAATAAAGTATTGCAGTGGTACCTTAAAAATTAGGTCTGTTTTTTCATTAAATATTAGCTCTGTTCTTCACAATGAGCTCTATTTCATCCTCCTTCGATTTACCAAGTTCTTCATATAATATAAATATATATATATATATATATATATATATATAATTTCAATAAAGGTGCAATTAATTTACAAATTCACGAATTATTCATACAAAAAACAAATACAAAGGTTTCTCGCCAATTAAATCATTAACCTTTGTATTTTTTTTTTGTATGAATAATTCATGAAGATATATATATATATATATATATATAGGAGGCATGGTGAAGAAGTGGGAAAGCTGCTCAGATTGAGGAATTGGAGAGCTGAGTTCAAATTCCAATTAAATCCATTACATTCACCTATGTGCTAATACCCTTGGGAAAGGTATGAATCCTCTTCTCCTTCTCCAGCTATGAGTAAATGGCAGGACAAACTGGGTTCTATAGCCTTGGATGGCAACTGATCTAGAAGGAGGACAACTCTTGATTGAAAAACTTGCAGAGGGTCATTTGGGGACCTTGTGGCACGTAGTGCACCAGGTTTCTGTATTCGGCCCTTCAAAAAGTGTGGTTGGTTCTGCACAAAGCCTTCACCACTATAATCAAATCATATGTGCTGGTGTCTGGCTGTCGGTTCCTGGTTGATCCTCATATACCAAATTCGACAGGAGAGTCCACCATATATATATATATATATATATATAATATTTTTTGTTTAAAAATATGATTCCTTCACTACATAAGAGTTCTCATGTTTCAAAAACGAGAGCCGAAATCATCCAAATAATTATTAAAATTAAGTTGGATTGTGGTGTTTAGTGCCGTTTCATCTTCAAGCGAAATTTTAGGAATAAGCTATCTCTCGGTTTACGTGTATTTTTAGGCACGGTCCATTACAGAATTCATTATTGTGGGAGTGGCTAGACTAATTTCCTTTGTTAAGTGTTCAGAGAGTTAATTCTTATCTATAGATTCATCATCTTCTGAGAGGTTTTGCTAAGGTTGGGTAGGGTATCTATTTCAAGTCTAATGTTTGCGGTCACCCTTTAGTTAGTTCCCAGTGAGGGATATTTTTATGCCACACCTACAATCGTTATGTGTCTGGGGAATTGTCTTATTATTGTCCATCTGATTATCTATTTATTTATTTGTTTATTCAAGTGGGTGTTTTATATACAGATCGCATTGCACTGAATTTCAATTTGTTTTTTGACGACTACAAAAAGGGTTTTTCCTATTTAATGATTTGGCTAATATATATATATATAAATAAAAATGATTTGGCTAATATATATATATATATATATATATATTAATAAAAATGATTTGGCTAATATATATATATATATATATATATATAAAAAAAAAAACAACCTGTATATATATATATTAATTTTTTAAAAAATGAGAGAAAAAAAAAAAAACAGAATATATATAGACAAAAACTTAAAAAAACACCAGAATATTCCAGAAATTTAGCTTAACTAAATATAAGTTATTTCTAACATTGAATTACATCATCTTTTGATATTCAGTGTCAAAAGATAAATAAATGAAAGAAAACCAAAAAATGTTGAACAGAAGAAATAACTATGACATCCTACACACATGCAAATACACACATGTACAGGTGTACACATACACACCAGCATACTAACACCAATAAAAAAGGGTATCATTTATGTTTTTAACTTATTTATAAAAATAACAAAAATGAGAAAAATTGATAAACAATTACTGATACCTCCTGAGGAGTTGACTAGACAATTACACAAAGGTGATGGATATAACATTAATCAGCTAAGTTACAAATTTTATATTTGTATTAATCATATATATATATATATATATATGTGTGTCTGTGTATTAATCATATATATATGTGTGTGTATATATATGTGCAGTATTTATTGGAAAGTGCTCAATATCAGAGATAGAGCTAACATATTCAGTTGTATGGATATGAGTTTGTAACCCTGACAAAAGCGTGAAAAATACATATTCAGGGTTACAAACTCATATCCATACAATATGAATATATATATATATATATATATATATATATTATGCACTGTTACATTAGAATACATAAGTTACTACTACAAAATTGTACATTTTATTTTGATGTTGAATAAACAACTTCCCATCAGGTAGTTAGCAATGATGGTACCATCATTGTTAACCACCTGATGAATATTACATGTTTTAATGTAACAGTGCATAAGAAATAGTTATTGCTATACTCTTGTATTGAGCCCTAGTTTAAATTAATGTTTTGAACATTGCAATTTTATTCTTCATTCTTTTATATATATATATGTGTGTGTGTGTGTGTGTGTATAAAAGCTATATTTAAGCATCAAATGTGTCCCATTCATAGCATGACATGGGTATATCATTCATGTTTTACTGTCAATGTCTAGTGATATCTTTTTATTTTTATTTTAGCGCTATTCAGTTATACTACTGTTAATCAAATGCAAGGCCCACGAGCCACTCAAAGTGGAGAGTATCTGAATGAGGTTGGTGTAAGGGCATACAAGGAGGGAGTAAGATGTGCATATTATGAGGATATGTAGGATAGATAACAGTTGACCCTAAACTTGGAGAAATTAAGATCGTAATAATCAAGGAAGTATACGTAACAGTACTGGGGAAAGTAGCTGTTTGAGTGGAACTTCCTCCTTACTGACGGAATATGATGAGAATGAGGATGAATTGACTGTATTCAAGGCATGGCAGGGTTCAACCTGTCATGGTATGGACTAGTGTAACTAAGGAATCTAGCTCATCTGAACAGCTACCATTAAAATAGTGGTACACTGGCGAGAGTCTAGCATCATTACATCTATGAGGAAAGGGGTTGTAGAGCGGGAAATAGTTCATCAAAAGGCCGTGTAAATACTTTTCAACTCTTCCAAGACTATAAAATCAGAATTGAGAAGCTCCAGCCCAATAAAGAGCAGCAATCATCAATTTTTGATCCGATTGGATTCTTGTAAAGATAAAGCATAGCAGAAGTAGTTGGATATTTTCCTGAGTGGTACAAGGAACCGTCCATTTCTCCAGCATCGTCAGTGATGGCTCATATGAGTTCCACTTGAGTCTGGAGTGAGTTCGAATCCCAATAGAGGTTCCAGGCAGTACAAACGTTCATCATGACTCAGAGTCTACTCAGTGATGGTAAATCCTTATTAGCTCAGTTTTTGAGGTCTTGAATGTTACAAACCAGATCTTCCACCATTGATCTGTAGGAGAAAGATCATAGGAGAGATCAGCTGCCAGGTGCCAGTCATCATACCTTCAGGTTTTCCATGACAGAACTAAAACAAAGAGGGATGCTAAAAGGATCAAAAACTTAAGAACAGAAGTTGTGAAGAGCCATGAACATCAACATCTTGATGATTATACCATTGGCCAAAGTTTCTTTAATTGTTTTAGAAATTATTCTCACAAACCTCCAGCAGTCAGGTTCTTCAGGGAAGGTCTCTCGCAGACAAACTGCTCATCGCCCACAACATAGACTTTATAAAGGACAGCATTGTGATTGATGAAGCTCTGTGCTACACAGGGTGGACGAATATCTTTTAAACCTTGTTTATTAAAAATGATCGCCATCTGTAAATAGAATAAACCAGTCATTAGTGCCTATTTTCAAGTTCCAAATTATATGCAATGGTGATAACAAACAAATACAAGTTTAGATCACTTTAACACAACCGACCCATGAAGAGGTTACAAACTAAATAAGATAATCCACATCCGACATGTTCTAAGCCATCATTCTTTCTCTAATTGTTAGGTTGCTTAGTGTTAAAGCAGTTAAAACAAAAATTTATAGATTCATTCATTTGTCCTACATATGAACAATGATTGTTCTTTACTTTGTTAATAAAATAAACATTTTTTTCTCCTTTTGACTATTTAAGAAATATATTAAAATAAAAGAATAACCCAGATCAGAAAACATTTGCCAAGCCGTCACTCTTTTGGGTTGGTTGATCTATATGACAAGCTGATACTTGCTGCATTATTTCATGTTGAATTTTGTAATGGGGCACCCAGTGAGGATCAAACAAGTAAATTTACTGACAGACATACTTGGAAATGTCAAAGCAAATTTGGCAATAAAGCATTTAAATAAAAAATTTATGAATTCATATGAATGAACAATTCTTCTTTCGTTTGCTAATACATTCGTCTTTTGACAGAGGGGGTGGAGGGGCTAAAAATGCCCCTACAGAGCGGAAGGAGTGGGAGATGCTAAAAATTCCCCCTATAGAGCGGGTTGGTTGGTTGGTTTTGTTTAACGGCATTCCAACCTTAGTGGTCACTTTATGCTGAAAATGATTTTGAGTGACTTTAAAGGAATCTTAAGTTAAATGAGTTTCTTGGTTTGAGTAGGCATCTCAAAGTAAGCAGTTTCATGGACTATAGAGCGGGAGGAGGAGAGATGCTAAAAATGCCCCCTATAGAGCGGGAGGAGTGGGGATACTAAAAATGCCCCCTATAAAGTGGAAAGAGTGGGGATACTAAAAATGCCCACTACAGAGCGAGAGGAGGGGAGATACTAAAAATGCTCCCTGCAGAGCAGGAGGAGGAGAATGGTAAAAATACTCCCCTGCAGAGTGGGAGGAGTGGGGATGCTAAAAATGTCCCCTACAGAGCAGGAGGAGTGGGGATGCTAAAAATGTCCCCTGCAGAGCAGAAGAAGAGGGGAGGAGTGCAGATAAAAATGTCCCCTGCAGAGCAGAAGAAGAGGGGATGCTAAAATGTCCCCTGCAGAGCAGAAGAAGAGGATGCTAAAATGTCCCCTGCAGAGCAGAAGAAGAGGGGATGCTAAAATGTCCCCTGCAGAGCAGAAGAAGAGGGGATGCTAAAATGTCCCCTGCAGAGCAGAAGAAGAGGGATGCTAAAATGTCCCCTGCAGAGCAGAAGGAGGGGATGAAAATGTCCCCTGCAGAGCAGGAGGAGGGATGCTAAAAATGTCCCCTGCAGAGCAGAAGAAGAGGGGATGCTAAAAATGTCCCCTGCAGAGCGGGAGGAGTGCAGATGCTAAAAATGTCCACTGCAGAGCAAAAGAAGAGGGGATGCTAAAAATGTCCACTGCAGAGCAGAAGAAGAGGGGATGCTAAAAATGTCCACTGCAGAGCAGAAGAAGAGGGGATGCTAAAAATGTCCACTGCAGAGCAGAAGAAGAGGGGATGCTAAAAATGTCCCCTGCAGAGCAGAAGAAGAGGGGATGCTAAAAATGTCCCCTGCAGAGCAGAAGAAGAGGGGATGCTAAAAATGTCCCTGCAGAGCAGAAGAAGTGGATGCTAAAATGTCCACTGCAGAGCAGAAGAAGTGGGATGCTAAAAATGTCCCCTGCAGAGCAGGAGAAGAAGGGGATGCTAAAATGTCCCCTGCAGAGCAGAAGAAAAATGGGGATGCTAAAATGTCCACTGCAGAGCAGAAGAAGAGGGATGCTAAAATGTCCCTGCAGAGCAGAAGAAGAGGGATGCTAAAATGTCCACTGCAGAGCAGAAGAAGAGGGATGCTAAAATGTCCCCTGCAGATCAGAAGGAGAGGGGATGCTAAAATGTCCCCTGCAGAGCAGAAGAAGAGGGGATGCTAAAATGTCCCCTGCAGAGCAGGAGAAGAGGGATGCTAAAAATGTCCCCTGCAGAGCGGGAGGAGTGCGGATGCTAAAAATGTCCCCTGCAGAGCGGGAGGAGTGCGGATGCTAAAAATGTCCCCTGCAGAGCGGGAGTAGTGCGGATGCTAAAAATGTCCCCTGCAGAGCAGAAGAAGAGGATGGATGGATGTTGGATTTAACGGCATGTCAACTCCTATTCAGAAGAAGAGGGAATACTAAAAATACCCACTACAAAAGGAGGTGGGGTATATACTAAAAATCCCTACTACAGTACTACAATGGTGCTGAAAAGATGTATATGTTGAAACACTCACCTCATGTGATAAGCTTTCTCCCTGTGCAACTAATGGTTTAGTCACTGGAAAAAAACAAAAAAAAAAAAAAAAAAAAAACAATTTTAAACTGACTTATTTTAGTCACAAATTGAAAATGGTAGCAACCTATAACAATTCTTTTACAATGTCAGTGGCAATTAACCTACTGTTAGACACATGGAGTGTTTGAACTTCTGACAAAATGTTTTTCCTTAATGTCTTTCTGAAGACCTCTGTTAAGTAACTCCAAGGAATTTCTGGTTTTAGTCATAATATTTGTGTGAATTACAAGCATATGACAGCTAACTCAGATTAATGAGATTCTACTGGACTTAAAATGAGGGTTCGATTTTCCATTGTTATTAAGTAATGAACTTTTCCCCCCAGAATGATTACATCATTATAAATGTAAAAAATCCTTAACTCTGCCATTAATACAGCGATGTGTTTGAACAACCCACAAAAAAGTTTTTCCTTAATATTTAGTGACAAGTCAAATTTTCATGATGAGTCAAGTAGCTTTGTGAAGACCTCTGTCAAGTGAATACAGTCTGAACTTTTTCATCTGGCACCCTTAGGATCAGGCTGTTGCCAGGGTCACAGAAAATACCAGTGACAGGAATCACCCCTAAGAAAAACCCAATATAAACATAAGAGTTTATTTATAACCCTATGTTCCTGTGTCATAAATCAATGAGCATCTGTCCAAAGGTAATGTAAAAAACTAAATTGTTTTAGTTCTTGAAAAATGTCACTCACCAAACTGAAAATTCAATTTTACCATATACACAATAACAGTAAAAAAAAAAAAAATTATCAAAATATTTCAGTAGCTTTATCTTTCAATGATGAAATTGGATAATACTTGTGTATTTTTAATGCATTTAACAGTTTATAGCTATAGCATAACATACAAGCTTACAAATAAACAAAAACAATTCTAGAAAGCCCCAGAAAATCATAGTACTATTATACTTATATACAATTTTAGAAATTTTGTGTTGCAGGGGTGACATTTTTTTCAAAATAAACTGAAGTAAACCCTTCTTCATTATTTTTGAACAAAAGTTAAAATTATTATACAGAAAATCAATCATCTTGCAAAAAGTCAATACCCTAGTAAATATAGACTTGCCAGCACATCACACACACATATATATATATATATATATATATATATATATATTGCAGTGTTATCAAAAAGGTAGAACAAAATTTAAATCAGGAAATAAAGCAATTACTATTTTTTCATGCAATACAGAGGCTACAAAAAAAGCCTAAAACTTAAAATATATACTTACTATCCTGAATAGGTAAATATGCAGCTATATATATAAGAAATGCATAAGATCGTATCACCAAAACACTCTGATGCTGTAGCCTACTGTAGAAAGTTGTAAACATGTGGTGCTGTTTTTGTAGTCGCTCAATGAACTAATGGCAGCCAATTAAAAAAAAAAAACAAACTGCTGGGTGATTTGAGTGCAAGATTAAAGCGCTCAGAGTATACAAGAAGTTTTTAGTTTTATTTGAGAAAATTACAAGCAAAAGTCCATGAAGTAATGGCTGACTGTAGTAACTGGGGTAGAAATGTATGCAAATGTCACCGTAACATTGTTTGGAAGTTGAGAAAAAAAAAATGTTTAAAAAAAATCTTACTGAATATAAAATAAAACTTTTTTTTTTTTTGTCTATTTGAATTTTTTAAACTTACAATTATTGAATATTAACCTATAATTTTAAAAAGATAAAACCTTTTGTGTTTTTTTCTTTTCATTTACCCTATAAAAACCAGGAAGACAATAAATAAGAAAATTAAAAAACTATATGATATATCTATAACATTTAAGTCAGTTGTTTGAAAAACCTCACAGTATTAATGTTATGACAATGCCCCACATTACTGACAGAGGCTTAAAGACATTTTAAAATTTACAAATTTAGCCAAAACTCATCCTTATTCTGCCAACTGTTTGACTTCTGTGAAATAACATGCCATCCGATGTTCCTCACCAATGGAGAATGGAAAGCAAGTTAATCTAGGCATTACAATATTGTAATTCTGTTTGTTCTGCCATTAGTTAGTTGCATGTGTCTTATGCCTTGCTACAGATAAATAAAGAACCATTCCATTTTGATTATGAGGAAAGGCAGAAGCTATATAAGAGACACTGTTTTGGTTTCAATGAGAAAAAGAAACCGTACATAATAAGAAAAGAAGGAGAGAGTAATATTCATGTGTTTAATATTTGCTGCAATGAAATGGGAAACCTTGTCAAAAAAAAAGGAGTAAAAAATAAAAGGAGTAAAAAAAACAAAAAGAAGCAAATAGATTAAAAAAGAAAAAGGAATTAAAAATGAAAAAAAAAAAAGGAGTCAAAAAAAAAAAAAAAAAAAAAAAAAAAAAAAAAAAAAAAAAACAAGTCAAAAAAAGAAAACAACAAAAGAAATAAAAAAGAAACAACAAAAGAAATAAAAAAGAAACAACAAAAGAAATAAAAAAGAAACAACAAAAGTAAAAAGATACAAAAGGAGTCAAAAAATTTTTCAAAAAAGTGTCAAAAAAAAAAAAAAAAAAAAAAAAAAAAATCAAAAGGCAACCTTTTTGACAAAGTCAAAAAAACTAAATGTGGAAAAATAGACAAAAACGAGTAAAAAGAACAAAGGAATTAAAAATCATTCTTCTATTTCCTGTGTATCTTCAGGACATGGGCAATTATGCTTCTCCACAACTTCCTGTCTTTTGTAGTGTTTGTTTTTTTTTTTTTATCTATCTCTCCTCAACCTTCACCTGCCATTTATTTGCATGAGCTCATAAAGCAGGGGTTATGCACTGTTTTCCTGTCCCTTTTGACATCAAAAGTGTAAGTGTCAAATTTTCTAAGCTCTCTTTCCTCAAGTGTCCTAGAAATTTCAACTATTTCTGATGCTATATAAAAGTGTCCATTTTGTCTCCATTCTCTCTAAAATTATGTCACTCCTCACATGTTCAGTCCATAGTATTCTCAGCATCCTTCTGTATAGCCGCATTTCCATTGCTTTAAGTCTTTCTTTCATCTGCGATGAGTTTGTCCAGCATTTACAGTCATATAGGAGGAGATATTACATAAGTTTTGTACTCTTTTCTTTGTTACCAATGAAATTTTCCGGTTTCATCAAAGAATATAAGACACCAAAAGAGACATGAGAGAGTTAAAAAGAGTGAAGAAAAACATAGTGAAAAGAAATGTCACAAAAAGAAAAGTAAAACTAAAAAATGTAAAAACAGAAGTTTAAAAAAGTGAAATGTAAAAATAAAAGAAATGTAAAAACGAAGAAATGCAAAAAAGAAAAAATGAAGAAATGCAAAAAAAGTAAAAGAAATGTTAAAAAAGTGAAAATAAAAAAATGTAAAAACAGAAGTGTAAAAGAGTGAAATGTAAAAAAGAAAAAAGTAAAAAAAAGAAATGTAAAAAAAAGTAAAAAAAGAAGAAATGTAAAAAAAAGTAAAAGAAATGTAAAAAAAAGAAATGTAAAAAAAGTAAAAAAAAGAAATGTAAAAAAAGTAAAAAAGATGTAAAAAAAAGATGTAAAGTAAAAAAAGAAGAAATGTAAAAAAAAGTAAAAAAAAAGATGTAAAAAAAAGTAATGTAAAAAAAAAAAAAAAAAAAAAAAAAAAAAAAAAAAAAAAAAAAAATGTAAAAAAAAAAAAAAAAAAATGTAAAAAAAAAAATAAAAAAAGTAAAAAAAAAAAAAAAAAAGATGTAAAAAAAAAAAAAAAATTTTCAAAAAAAAGAAGAAATGTAAAAAAAAGTAAAAAAAAAGATGTAAAAAAAAGAAATGTAAAAAAAAAGTAAAAAAAAGAAATGTAAAAAAAAAGTAAAAAAAGAAATGTAAAAAAAAAGTAAAAAAAAGAAATGTAAAAAAAAGTAAAAAAAAGAAATGTAAAAAAAAGTAAAAAAAGAAATGTAAAAAAAAGTAAAAAAAGAAATGTAAAAAAAGTAAAAAAAAAAAAAAAAAAAAAAAAAAAAAAGAAATGTAAAAAAAAGTAAAAAAGAAATGTAAAAAAAAAAGTAAAAAAAGAAATGTAAAAAAAAAAGTAAAAAAAAGAAGAAATGTAAAAAAAAAAGTAAAAAAAAAAAGAAATGTAAAAAAGTAAAAGAAAAGAAATGTAAAAAAAAGATAAAAGAGAAGAAATGTAAAAAAGAGATAAAAAAGAAATGTAAAAAAAAGATAAAAGAGAAGAAATGTAAAAAAGAAGTAAAAAAAGAAGAAATGCAAAAAAAGAAATAAAAAAAAAGAAATGTAAAAAAAAGAAGAACAAAATGAAGAAGTCAAAGAAAAGTGTCAAAATAAAATAAAAAAAAAATTTTTTTTTTTTTAAAAAAGTTAAGTAAAAACAAATGAGTCAAAAATTTAAAAAAGAAAAAATCTAAAAGAATCAAAGAATGTAAGAAAAAAAAAAGCCCAGAGACCAATGCCTGAAGCAAGACAATCTTTGGTTAAGAAAGATGCCAAAATTATGAAGAAGAGACAAGCAGTAACAAAAGAGGATGCTGTCCTTCCTGGTCATTAATATTGAGTTGAGAGATAGAATCCTTCAGACTGGGTTGAAAATAAATAAAAAGTTTGTTTCTATCCATGCGTTCTGTCTCGACAGTATGTTGTGAAAATGGGGTGTATGATTTTGACAGTTATAAATTATTGACAGTTGGAAAATGTTCATGAAAGTATATTATCCCAAAAATATATTTGATTATGCATTTTGCCATTTAGGTTTCATCAGATAGAAAGTGAAAAAAATGGATTTCATGAACGTTTTCCAATTATCAATAATATATATGAAATGAGTTAAATCTGACAAATATTTTAATATATTTTCTATCCACATGTTATTCTTATGGATACAAATTAATGGAGTAAATGCTCTGTTTTTAATTAAACAGTATTAATTACATTTACCGGTCTGAACACTTGAGAAATTTTGTAGAAAATATGCATTCTCTGCCAGGAATAGAACCTCTATCCCATACGGAAACCATCATTTGGCTCTTAACCATTAAGCCACAGAAAACATTCAAGCCAGTAAATGTAATTAATACAGTTTAATTAAAAACAGAGCATTTACTCAAATAAGTTGTATCTATAAGAATAACATATAAACAGTATATATATATATATATATATATATATATATATATATATATATATATATATATATATACACACACACACACATCCTGCACTTCAACATATTATTGCTAATCATAAAGTGGTGAATCAAAAAATATAAAAAAATACCAATTTTATCTAAAATGCTAATCCCATTGCGACATTTCCATTTTAATGTTTTCTCTCCTTTTTCCATTGGTAGACTTGCAGCTTCAGCAGTAGACCTTAACCTAAAGTTGATGCGTTGGCGGTTAATGCCAGATCTGGACTTGGATAAAATCTGTAACACTCGATGCCTTCTGCTGGGTTCTGGAACTCTTGGCTGTAATGTTGCGAGATGTCTCATTGTAAGTTGCAGACACTTCCCTTTTTATTATTCATACAGACTCTTTTCTTAGACTTCATCCAGAAATCACATTCATTTCACAGTTAATGAGTGAAGGATAAATATTGTTGTTCAGAATTCCTCTAAAAATGATGTTCACCCTGTACAAAGCCCGGGATCTACCCAAGGTAGACGTTTACACAGAGTAAGAGACATAGCAATGGTTTATAGGAAGAAGCTGCTCTGAGTGGAACTTATACCTCACCAACAAAATATGAAAGGAATGAGGGTGGTTCATTACAATGTGCATGGCATGATGGGTCTTAGCTGTGGAGGTTAGAACTGGTGAAACTAAGGAATGTAGTTGATCTGAGAACTTTCTATGGAAGTAATGAGAAGCTTGCCATGTTTCATCTGTGAGAAAAGGGGTTGTAGAGTGCAAAATAATTTGTCACCCACAAGGATGCAGTAACGCTTTTGGACTATCAAGACTGGAAAGTGAAAATGGAGCAGCATCTTTAATGAGTTCCATTTGAGATCATGGTTGAGTTTAAGTTACAATAGGTTCTCTGCCTTCTATAAAATTAATTTGAAGTAAACTGGTCTCTTCTTTTAAATAAAATCTATCCAACCGAGAATGGTCACCCTGTACAAGGCCCAGAAGTCACTCAAGGCAGAGGCATACAGAGTTAAAATTGTTGTGATCAGTGAAACATCCTCTTGGGAGACAGTTCCATAAATTCACGTATTCATGGGAACAAGCTATTCGAGTTCAACTTTCATCTCAACAATCTATTTTTCTTTAAAGTGATGTTCACCCTGTACAAGACCTGGGAACCACTCTAGGTAGAGGGTTACATAGTAAAAGGTAAAGTTTAGGCGGATATGCAAGGAAATGATGGTTAATCCTAGACCTGAACAGATTAAGATTGTAGTGATCAGGAAAACACCCTCTTTCAGAGTCAATTTCACAGAGCAGCTGTTCACAGGAAGAAGCGGCACAAGTGGAACTTTCATCTCACCAAAGGAATATCAATGGAATGGGAATGGTTCGCTGCAGTGTGCATAACATGACGGGTTTTAGTCGTGAAGATTAGAACTGGTATAATTAAGGAATGTAGTACTTTCCATGGAAATATCCATAGATCAGTGAAAGGTTTACGATGTTTCATCTGTGAGAAAGAGGTTGTAGAGTGGAAAATAATTTGTCACCCACAAGGACATGGAGCCGCTTTTGGACTCTACTGGGACTGGAAAGTGAAGACTGGGTACCATCTTTGGTGATGGATCATATGGATGAAATCTGGGTTGAGCTTAAATCTCAATAGGCGCTCAAGGCATGAGGCCCTCCCTGAGAGAATATCTGTTCATCATGGTTGGTGATAGTTTCGTACATGTATTCTGTTTGCCTTCAGACATAAAACTAGACTCTAAAATGCAGACCTGTTTATTTATTCTGTAACTGTGAACATTTTTCTTTTTCTTTTCCCCAGAGAGAAGGTACCAACCACTTAGTCGAGGTTTGGCATGTATTATTCAAGTTTACATAACTCTAACATTAAAGAACATGTTTCAAGGTTCAAAACAATTCTTTTTCATGTTCCACACATTTATTGACACACATCTGCCTATATTCTTTGTGTTTCTCTTAAAATCTTGGCTCTTTTATTATTTAGAAAATGAATAAAAGAGAAACATTGAGGTCTATAGTAAAATAAATAATTAAATAAGGGAATAACCAGTACACAAATGAATCATATGACATTATCAAGTGGGATGAAGAGGAGAAAGAGAAAGCGAGAGAGAAAAAGAGAGAAAGAGAGAGAGAAAAAATGAAAAGAAAGAAAAAAGAGAAAAATGAGAGAAAAAGAGAGAAAAAGATGAGAAAGAGAGAGAGAGAAAGAACTAAAAGTGAGAGAAAGAGAAAAATAAAAGCAAGCAAGAGGGAGAAATGCAATAGATGGAGAAAAGTGAGAAAAAGATAAGAGAGATAAAAGCAAAAGAGAGAGAGAGAGAAAAGAGAGAGATAAAAAAAAAGAGAGATAAAAAAGAAAGAAGAGATAAAAGAAAAAAGAGAGAGAGAGAAAAGCAAAAGAGAGAGAGAAAAAAGATAAAAGAGAGAAGAGAGAGAGAGAGAGAGATAAAAGCAAAGAGAGAGAGATAAAAGCAAAAGAGAGAGAGAAAAGAGAGAGAGAGAGAGATAAAAGCAAAAGAGAGAGAGAGATAAAAGCAAAAGAGAGAGAGAGAGATAAAAAAAGAAAAGAGAGAGAGAGAAAAAAGAGAAAAGAGAGAGAGAAAAAAAAAGAGAGAGAGAGAAAAAGCAAAGAGAGAGAGAGAGAGAAAAGATGAAGAGAGAGAGGGAAAAAAAGAGAGAGAGAAAAAAAGAAAAAAAGAGAGAGAGAAAGAAAAAAAAGAAAGAAAGAAAGAGAAAAAAAGTGAGAGAGAAGAAAGAAAGAAAGTGGAAGAAGAGAGAGAGAGAAAAAAAAGAGAGAGAGAAAAGAAAAAGAGAGAGAGAGAAAGAAAAAAAAAAAGAGAGAGAAAGAAAAAAAAGAGAAAGAGAGAAAGAAAAAAAAAAAGTGAGAGAGAGAGAAAAAGTGTGGAGAGAGAGAAAAAAAGAGTGAGAGAGAGAGAAAAAAGTAGAGAGAGAGAGAGAGAGAGAAAAAAAGAGAGAGAGAGAAAAGAGAGAGAGAGAGAGAGAAAAAGTGTGAGAGAGAGAAAAAAAAGAGAGAGAAAAAGTGAGAGAGAGAGAAAAAAAGGTGAGAGAGAGAGAAAAAAAAGAGAGAGAGAAAGAGAGAGAGAAAAGTGTGAGAGAGAGAGAGAAAAAAAGTGTGAGAGAGAGAGAGAGAAAAAGTGAGAGAGAGAAAAGTGAAAAAGAGAGAGAGAGAGAGAAAAAGTGAGAGAGAGAGAGAGAGAAAAAGTGAGAGAGAGAGAAAAAAGTGTGAGAGAGAGAAAAAGAGAGAGAGAGAGAAAAAGTGTGAGAGAGAGAGAGAAAAAGTGTGAGAGAGAGAGAAAAAAAATCAAGAAAAAAAGAGAGAGAGAGAAAAATGTGAGAGAGAAAGAGAAAAAAAATGTGCAAGAGAGAAAAATATGCGAGAGAGAAAAATGTGCGAGAGAGAAAAATGTGCGAGAGAGAAAAAAGTGCGAGAGAGAAAAAAGTGAGAGAGAGAAAAAAGTGCGAGAGAGAGAGAAAAAAGTGACAGAAATGAAAAAGATTAAAAGTGAGAGAAAAGTACACACAGTGGTAGTTCTAGAAAATGCAGGCACACTGGGGGTTTGTACATGCCAAATATGAAGGGTGTGTGGATGTGGATGTATGTGTGTGTGTGCTCGTACAGAAGGGGATGCAATGTTCAAAGTTAAGGTTCCTTCTCTATCTATACAGCTTCAAGGATTTTTTTCTATCACTTTTTAAAATAAAATAAAATACTTCTAAGTCAAATAGGTATCATAAAAATTGTAGTATTGCATAAAAGCCTATAAAAGTAGTAGTGGGAACCAACCTAGAAACCAGACAATAATTGAGAATGTCAGGCCCTCCATCTTCCCACCATTCCTATAGAATTGACAATAGTTCTGCAGCAATTTCTAACAGCATTATGGAAGGGTTTGAATATCTAAGTGAATGTGTTTAAGTACACACTAAACCAACCATGTGACCGAATATTAAATTTCTAAAATTTCATTTTTTAATTTTTTTTTTTGTCACATATACAGTGTAACCCAGATATAAGAGATCCGGATATAAGAGAAACCCGGATATAAAAGAGATTTTCTCTGGTCCCAAATTAGAGCCTGTGTTAATGTATATAAAATAGACCAAACCCGGATATAAGAGACTTCTTCTCCAGTCCAGACAACTCTTATATCCGGGTTACACTGTACTTACATTGGACTAAACATCTGAATTTTTCTTATTGACTGCTTGTGGATATCATTGATTTGACTGAACGTCATCCCCTGACTCCTGTTAAATAGATTAATACCCAAGGCTGGTAAAAGACGAGTATCTGTAGTTTCCCTTGAGCTATGAAAAGGGGCCAATTTATGAAGAAAGTACCTACTGTTTGAATATCTAGGAAAGGAGTAATGATTTACAGTAAAACTAATGTCCTCATCTCTGCTGTTGTTGTCACAACGTTTCGGTCACTGTTCCCTCTGGCCCTCTTCAGATGTCTATCAAGGTAACCTATTATTTAATCTACAGGGGTAGGTTGTTCTTGTTCTCCAGTCCTTGTTTAGTGATATTTTGAGTACAGTTCAGTTATTATTTGTGTTTTCACAGAGTTGCTCCTTGTTGATTTGAGAATTTGGTGACACTAATTCCAAGTTCAATCCCGGCACCAAGATCAAACAACAGAGAAAAAGAAAGGGAGACATCCCTAAACATGAACAGCAGAATGAAAATAATACTCCAACATATATTTCTGTTTCTATATCTGAGATGAGGTATTATAACTATTTACACTATTTACATTTTTCGGACTGTTATCCTCATGTTTATTGCCATATTCACCTTCAATATCTGTCTCTATTTCTGAGATGAGGTATTATAACTATTTACTCTATTTACATTGTTCAGACTGTTGTCCTCATCTTTATTGCCCTATTCACCTTCAACATCTGTCTATTTCTGAGATGATGTATTCTAACTATTTACATTGTTCGGACTGTTGTCCTCATCTTTATTGCCATATTCACCTTCAACATCTGTCTCTATTTCTGAGATGAGGTATTCTAACTATTTACATTGTTCGGACTGTTGTCCTCATCTTTATTGCCATATTCACCTTCAACATCTGTCTCTATTTCTGAGATGAGGTATTGTAACTATATAAATAGTGTATATTTATATTGTTTGGGCTGTTGTCCTCATCTTTGTTGCTACATTCACATCGTTTTGGCAGTTATATGCTCCAGTCTTCTTCAGATGATGAGAATTTCAAACCGAAACCTTTATTTTGTCTATGGGGGTAGACTGTTCTAGTTCCACTTGCCATGCCTTTTCTTGATCTCAGTTTCAGTTATTTTCTTTTAATAACTCAACCCTCCAAATTTTTGTTCACCCCTGCTGCAACCAGGTACTTATTTCACAACTGTTTAGATCAAGTCACTGGATTACCAATGCTTTTATCCACGGGGCCATGTGTCCTTAGTGGATGAAATAAAGGGTTTGGTCCAAAATTCCAATCACCTGAAGAAGGCTAGAGTGTACAATGGCTGAAATGGCATGAATATGATAATGAAGATGAGGATAACAGTCTGAACATTGTAAATAATCACCATAGATTATAAATGGTTCAGTTTGAAATTTCTAGAAGGTTACCTGAATTGATAGACACTTGGAGAAGGCCTAAGAGCACAACAGCCAAAACATTTTGACAATAAAGTTGAGGAGATTAGTCCAAAATAAATAATGTAAGGAAAGCATCTGACATTTTGGATTTAAGATGGGCCGTGTCTCGGTAAAAATTTATTCAAGGATTTTTACATGCAATTGGATAGACAGTTTTTTTTTTTTTAAATAATGTTCACCCAATACAAGGTCCAAGAGCCACTCAAGGTAGAGAGTTAGTACTGTATGATGTTTGAGCACAAAAGAAGACAAGAAGTACAGTTTATGAGGTTATATAGGAAACTAGATGGTTAACTCTAGAATTGAAGAGGTTAAGACTGTTGTGATCAGGAAAGCATCCTCTCGGGAGTGTTCCACAGAGCAGTAAATCTTGGGAAGAAGCTGTCCAATTAGAACTTCTTTCTCACTAATGGAATATAAAGAGAACAAGTGTAACACAAGAGAAAATGTCTTACCTCCTGGACAAAAATGGATTCAGACACATCTTGCATGTAAAATATTCCCAAAAAGAAAATGGTGTCGTTACAAGTTGTATTTATATTTAAGAAGAGATAGAGCTCTGAGTCGGATTCTTTCACAAGACTTTTTTTTTTTTTTCCACCTATGCAAATTTGATCTGCCACTTGATCTATAAAAAGTGATTAACAAGGTGAGAGAACAGTGTGGCGGTGGTCGCAAACAGGAGACACATGTTGTTGAATTGTTTGACATACACAACTCTGTTGGTTGAAGGAAGCGAATTAGGGAATTTTATTACAAGCAAGAAAAAACTGTCTACAACAAAGATGATTCATCCCCGTGTATATCACATGACAGTTCCCAGCTGCAAAGGTCAGGGTTGGTAGAACCAAGGACTGTAGCTTGCCACGGAAATAGCAAACAGAGCAGCAAGAGGCCTGCGACTTTTGAACTATGAGAAAGGGGTTGTAGGGTGGAAAATAATTCATCACTGCAGAGCTGCATAGATGATTTGAACTCAAGACAGGCAAGTGAAGACTATGTAGCTCCAGCCAAACTATGGCAATAACACTCCATTTTTGATCTGATCAAAAAGGATCAGGACTGGTACTATAAAAATAAAACTAAAACACATATCAATTTTTTTATTTAATCTCTTTCAAAGTAGTCCCCTTCTGAAGCCACACACCTTATCCAGCCTAATTTCCATTGTTGGAAACACTACCAGAACTCCTTTTTGGGGATAGCAATCAGCTGCCTCGTCACATTCTCTTGGATTTCCTCGATGTCTTGAAATCTTGTTTCTTTCAAAAGGGATCTGATTTTTGAAGAGGAATAAGTCGCAAGCAGTGATATCCAGGGAATATGGCGGTTGTTGAAACTGGGGAATGTCTGTCTTGGCCAAAATCTGCTGCAGAAACCATAATCACTGATGGAGACACTATGGTGTAGCGAGACAACCACACTCTACACACTTTCCTTCTGATCACTGCTATAAACAACAGAAGTGAGCAAGAACATTATAACTTTGTATGGATGCATGACAGAGTTCATGGTCAATCTGTACCAAGGAGCTTGGTTCTGCAAACTTTAGCTCTGTTACCATAGCAACAGTTCCGATACTTTTTTTGGTCAGACCTCATATATATGAGAGAAAGTTTACAATTATTGAAATTGTTTTTTATGTCACATTGAGTCTTGCAATATGTTCGGTCCATGGTATCATCAGAACATGTGAGCAACAGTAAGGTTTTAGAGAAAACGGAAACAAAAAGGAAACTTATAATTAACATCAGGAAGAAGCAGTTAAAATTTCTAGGGCACATAATGAGGAAGGAGGGCTTGGAAAATCTGATACTCACAGGATAGATTTTTTATTCTTCCCATCCTTTATTCATTCTTTTTTCTTTCTTTCCTTTTTGTTTCCATTGTAACCTAGAAAAGGTTACTGAATAAGAATAACAAAATGAAGGCTGGAAATGGAATGGTAATCTTCATAACATTAACAACATACAAGAATTGCCAGTGGTGTGTAGTAAGTAATCCACTGCTAGTAGTGAACTAGTGGTAAATCACCCCAGACAATATATTCCTCTGTATTTATAAGGATTGAGACATAGCCATTATAGTTCATAGGTATATTATAACAGTTTCTTGGTTATTTTATTCTTTCTTTCGTTCCTTCCTTTCTTTTTCGTTTTCTCACCTTTTTATTCTTTCCATCTTTCTTTCATTCCTTCTTCCTTTCTTTTTCTCACCTTTTTATTCTTTCCATCTTTCTTTCATTCCTTCTTCCTTTCTTTTTCTCACCTTTTTATTCTTTCCATCTTTCTTTCATTCCTTCTTCCTTTCTTTTTCTCACCTTTTTATTCTTTCCATCTTTCATTCCTTCTTCCTTTCTTTTTTCCATCTTTGTATTTTATTCTTTTTAATTTTTCTTTTTCATTTTCATTCCTTTTCTTCCTTTTCTTTTTTTTCTCTTTTTTATATTTCCATTTTTCCATTTTTCTTTCATTTCTTTTTCTCCTTTTAAAACTTTCCATTTTTTTTCTTTTTTCCTTTTTATTCTTTCCATTCTTTCTTTCATTCCTTCTTCCTTTCAATTTTTCAAAAATTATTCTCACCTTTTTATTCTTCCATTTTTTATTTATTTCTTTCATTTCCTTTTCCTTTCTTTTTTCAAATTTTTATTTTTTTTTTCATTCTTTTCCATTTTTCTTTCCATTTTCATTCCTTCTTCCTTTCTTTTTCTCACCTTTTTATTCTTTCCATCTTTCATTTATTAAAATTTTTTTTCTCACCTTTTTTTTCTTTCCATCCATTTTTCTTCTTTCCATCTTTCTTTCATTCCTTCTTCCTTTCTTTTTCTCACCTTTTTTTGTCATTCCATCTTTCATTTTCATTTTTTTTTTTTATCACCACAACAGTTATTCTCTTTTTCTTTCATTTTTTTCCTTTCTTTTTCTTTCCATCTTTCTTTCATTCTTTCTTATAGATCTTCTTTTTACTTTCTTTTTTCTTTAATATTTCTTTTTTCACTCTCAATGTAAATAATTTCTTTTCCCCCTCCTTCTTTCATTCTACCATCCATCTTTCTTCCTTTCACTTCTGAAGTACCTTGGACCGAACATGTGAGCAACGATGAAGTTTTAGAGAAAATAGAAAGAAAAAAAAAGAAAACTTATACTTAACATCAGGAAGAGACAATTGATATTTCTGGGACACATAATGAGGAAGGAGGGCTTGGGAAATCTGATACTCACAAGACAGAGTGAGGGAAAGAGGGAGAGGTAAGCTGCACATAACATACTTGATGAGTTTGAGTAAATGGATGGTAAAACAGGGTTCTGGGGAAATAACAAAAAGAAAACTTATTAAGAGCTACAAGGAACAGGAAGATGTGGAGGGACATGATCACCTATGTCCTGAAGGGACACATCACATAAAAGAAGAAGAACATGTTAACTGTGTGCATGTCTATATGTGCATTATATTTTGAGATAGAAATACTTACTAAATGGGAAATCCATGTGTGCATCTTTCAATATTTTACTATTTTCTTCAATATCATTTGAGCAAAGTTCTACAAAGGTTGGTACAAAAAACTCATACCCTGAAAAATAAAAATCATGAAAGAAAGCATTAAGAAAAAAAAAAAAAAAAAAGAAACAAAATCTTAATTTAAAAAAAAAAAAAAAAAAAAAATTATTTAAATCTTAACTAGAGATGGCATAAGTTCAGAAGTGCTAGGAGCTCCAGAGAGGATCAGATTTGCTACAGTTTGATTGGTTGATTTTGTTCAGCAACATGCCAACCTCTACAGGTTATTTAAGGCTGTAATCTAAATATTTTGAACACATGGCAAAGTGGATAAAGGTGTTAGTTAGATCCAGTGACAAGACTCAAATAGTGTGGGTTCAATACCTGGTTAAGGCGGTGGAGAACTTGGAGAGGGAATTAACACGAGATAACTGATAACTGACATCCATTAGACATGGTACGTGGAACTAGAATAGTCTACCCCAGTGAGCAAAATAAAGGGTTCAGTTCAACATTCCAACCACCTGAAGAAGGCTGGAGCATACAACGGCTGAAACATTCTAATAAATATGGTGACAAAGATGAGGTCAATAGTCTGAATAATGTAAATAGTGTACATAATACCTCATCTCAAAAATATAGACAAATAATTTGATGGCTTCAACTACAGTTAATTTGTAATTAATTTTATACTTTCAAGGTAAACGTGTTTTTTTAAATATATAGTTTGTAAAAGATAAATTGTATTGTTGGTAGAGAAGGTTACTGAATAGAATAATCACATGAAGGTTGGTAATGAATGATAATACTTAGTACAAGAACAACACATATGAGATTCACCAGTAGTGTGTAGAAGTAGTCAACTGCTAGAAGTGAGTCAAGTGAATTTCACAATGAATCTCCAACTGCAGGATATCTACCAACTGCCCCACACAGTCAGATGTGGCACAAGGCCGAATTTAATGTGAGGTATCCAAGCCCATAGGCTCGGCCCAAAATTACCCATAGACCCTGTTTAAAAATGGTTGTTGCGTAGCTGTTTCCCCAAGATGAGACTCTGCCCTTCGACAACTTCATCTGAGGATCCTCTTTGCCCAGAGACAGAGAGTTTGACCAGCACTGCTAGAGATGAATCTCTAACAGCAGACCAATATACAGTATTTACTACTGTATTTATGTTAATGGGGACATACACATTATTGTCCATATGTATGCTATAACACATTGCTATTTAATTCTTTGTATTGCACCCTGAAGATGACAATTTGAAATTGTTGAAAGTATTTGGCATGTCTTCCATCTGACATCTACTCGAATATAACGATCTTATTATTCAAGGAAATGATAGTAAGATAATGTCTCATTAAGTCTTGTTAGCGAAGTGATTTTGCCATTAATCACAAACATTGTGCTGTAACCAAGGGTAGGTTACTGAAAACAATAATCACACTAAGGTTGGTAATGAACGATAATACTTAGGACAAGAACAAAACATATAAGATTCGTCAGCGGCACATAGAAGTAGTCAACTGCTAGAAGTGAGTCGAGTGAATTCCACAATGAATCTCCAACTCCAGACCAACATACAGTATTTACTACTGTATTTATGTGAATGGAGACATACCTATTATTGTCTGTAGGCATGCTACAACAATGTATTGTTGGTAATTTCACTATAAAAAGTACTGCTGGTAATTTTATTATAAGAATGTATTTTTATACTTTTTAATGTACCGATTACCATTTTGCTATAAAAATGTACTGTTGTTCATTTTGCTATAATTATGTATTGTTGGTAATTTTGCAATAAAAATGTACTGCTGATTTTTATTTAGGGGTTCCCAATTTGTCAATATCTGGAACCCTAACAAGTGCTACCAGCCTGGGTTAGGGTGAACCAGGAAACAACAGCAATTAACAGGTGGTTCTACGCTGCTCAGAACCTCCAGTCCCCTGATTAGATGCCTTGCTGCCAGATAGTGTTTATCATCATACCCAGGAAGGTTGCTACAGTTTGAATGATCAAATAAAACTTTATAGCCAGAAGCCTTGTTCAATAAGCTAACAATGTGGTACAAGTCTTCTAGCATGAGACACCCCAGATAGAATTAGAAAATTAGTTGAAGAGGAGCTTGTTAACCAGCGCACCATAACTAGTGCCTGAAATAGATGCTCTTTATCTAAATTGGTATACTTAGACTCAGTGGAAACAGGGTGAGCAGTAATGGAGAAGTACTAAGAAAAACAAACAAGACAAGATATACCAAGCCATGAACACTGAAATGAGAACAATGTAGTCGCACAGATTAAAAAAAGGGTTCAGTTTGAAATTCAATTCAATTGTTAACCATCACAACATAACTGGTGCCTGAAATAGATGCTCTTTATCAAGCTTTGTATGGAAATCTTATATGCATGTGTTTAAGATTAAAAAATAACATCCTATTTTTAACCCAACCAGCCATGGAATTTGTTTAAATTAAAATATACTCAAGTTATCAAATCAGTAATGGTAATCTGACCTGTGCTAAAAATGATAGGTAGGCAATTAATGGAGGCAAGCAGGCAGGAGGGAGAAGAAGAAGAAGGAGTAGGAGGAAGAAGAAGGAGTAGGAGGAAGAAGAAGGAGTAGGAGGAAGAAGAAGGAGTAGGAGGAAGAAGAAGGAGTAGGAGGAAGAAGAAGGAGTAGGAGGAAGAAGAAGGGGAAGAAAGAGAAATTAAGAGCAGGAGAAGGTAGGAGGAAAAAGGAAAGACAGGAAAAGGCAAGAGAGACTAGAGAAGAAAGGAGTTGACATGGGAAGGAAGGAGGAGGAAGGACGAGCTACAGGAGGAAGGAGGGGAAGGAGTTGCTGGATGAGGAAAGAGAGGCAGAAGAGAGATACCCCAAGAGGAGAGAGAGAGCAAGAGGGGGAGAAATAGAACCCCCACCAGGGGAGAGAGAGATACCCAAAGAGAAGAGAGAGAGAAAAAAAAAACCCAAATCTGAGTGCAGAGGATTTATAGTCGGAGGAGTCTAATGGAGATTATGAAGATATGGCAGGTTGGAAAACTCAATCTGATCACTCTGATAAGAAAAGAACTCCTGAATTTGATGGCGAGGGCCTCAAGAAGTAGTGTTGCCCTGGGTCAAGAGGGTGGCTGCTGGTAGCCCCTACATCTGACAACAGGACTGCATCATGTTACACAAGCAAGAGAACCCATTTATGGCTGTCAGACAATTTCTGTGACCACATCACCCCTTACATCTGACCACCTAACTCCCCAGACTACAGTCCTTTTGATTACTATGTGTGGGGTGCAGTTTTGAGATCAACAAAACTCCTTGTCATACAAAAGATGAACTGAAGGCAAGGATTATGGAAGTATTCATTAACTTAAACAAGGAGACAGTCTAGAAGAGTTACAGGAGATTCTGAAATTGTCTAGAGGCCAGGGTTTGTGTCAATGTCAATTTTATTGAATAAATTTATTCTTTAGTTTTTCAAGATATTTTTGCATAATTTTGGTAAATATATCTCAATTTTGGTAAATATATCTCTAAAAATGTGATGTCAGTGTTATTTTCATTTTTACATAATTTAGACGACAATTTATCCATCGTACTTAGTGTGTGTGTGTGTGTATATATATATATATATATATATATGCGTGTAAACTGTATGTCTTGAAACAATAAAATTTGTTAAAAATTGAAATTTCAGACACTCTGGGTTGCATATTAAAATTTTTGTTTATTCTTCAGTTAGGTTCCTTGACTAGTTTCGGCCATCATCAAGAGAAAAAAAAAATTTATATATATTTTTGGTCAAAGATCTTTTTCAAGTTTTTCTTTAAATAGAGAGGGTGGGACACATACGAGTCTCAGATGTACCTCTTTAGTCATTTTAACAGCTTTATTGGTTCCTGGGAAGGGGATCTGTGTGTTATGTGTATGTTATTTTTTAATCTTTTTGGGGAGTGTCTGTAATGTATGTATGTGTATATTACAAAGCTTTGGAGGATCCAGATTTCTCAATAGCATAACTGGCACATTTTTTATAGTTCCAGCTTTTGTAATGGCATTCCAGGAGGATTCAATGAATTCAGGAACTCTAATGGATAATTCACTGCCTGCTCTTGTTCAACCACAGTGTCAATGGAAAAGGACTTCATACTTTTTTTGGAATTTCTTGGAGAAGTTTCCAGTTGATGCTATCCAAAGTTTGATTCTTAGGAGCTAATATGGCCCTCTCACAAAGCCAGCTTGAATCCATGAAGTGATGTTTAATGTTTGGATAAACATGGTTAAATCCAGTCTTGGATATTTCAAACTGAAACTCCACAACCATTTGGGAATAAAATATTTCTATTTTGGTCCATTTTGATGGTTCCATTGTCAAGCTGCAACAGAAAAGTAGCAAATCTTCCTGCTTCAAGGTCACCTGTGATTCTAACTCATATGTTTGTTTTCATGCTAAGTCTTTGAACATGGCTCCAGATACAAGAATTTTTCAGACAAGCATTGATTTCATCAGCTGGAGTTCCTCTTGCAGAGACTAGCATAGTGATACCTTCCATGATTTATGAATTCTGTCTAATGTCTTTGAGTGTTTTATCCAGGGCCTCAAATATTCACTTGTGTGCCATGGTACATTCACCTCAGACAATGAAGCTTGTCTCCTCCAGTAGCTTAGACAAGTTGGTCCCTCTTTTGATGTTGCAAATAGGGGTTTCATTGTAGTTCAAACCCAACGGAAGTTTGAAGGTGCTGTGTGCTTTACACTCTCCAGGCAAGAGGATAGAAGCAATTCCAGATTATGCTATTGCTAGAGCAACATTTTTTTTTGTCATTTCACTACAGATAAAAAAAGGTTAGTTACAAACGTTTTACCAGTATGTCCAGGTGCATCCAAGAAGAAAATCACTCCATTGTTGTTGTTGATGTTCTCAAGGACCTTCTGATACATTTGCTGTTAGTTCAACAAGGGGCTCATTGTTTTGAACACATTGCCACAGTTCTTCCATGTTGTATCTAGCTTCACTCAGAATTTATCTGTTGATTTGTCCAGTTTCTGTTTGGATTTGGTAAACCAAAATTGCTGAGATATCTTTGAGCCAAGTTCAACATTTTGTCTTCAGTTTCACACAATGCTAAACTTGCAATCTAAGTATTCAATTCCAATCCTGGATGAGCAAATCTCATTTGAAGAAGATGAGATACTTAAAAGTGAAAGAGTTATGTCTCTCTAATTGAAAAAGTGTGACAGAGATTTACGCATTTTATATTTTATTTGTAAATCAAATCTCCACTTTAATTCCCTGACTCTGATTTTGGTTGATTTGCCACTTGTTTATACACACCTAAAGCCCAACTTTGAAATAGCTGTTCACTTCTCATTGGCTTGTGGCCTTATATCATGGTTGTGAAAGCTTTTCAATTGATTAATCAAACAAACTATTTGGAAATTGGAAAATTTAGTCTCCAATGTCATTTGTTTATTTCTTTTCTTACATCCTGGCTCTGAAAGCTTTCTGGTTGTTTGGTCAAACTATGGCTTTGTTTTCCTGGCAATTTTTATTATCCATCTATTTTCAAGGGTGGTGAAATTTCAGTCTTGTTATTTATTTATTTCTCTCTCTATCACCACAGAATCACTTCACTCCTATTTTAAAAACTTTTCACAAATGCACAAAATTCAATTCAAAGAAAACAAACCAAACACAAGAAAAAGTATTTTTTTCTTCAAAAATCCATGATATCACTAAAACAAATCTTAAATAGTTTACATCTCAAAACCTACCAGGGCTAGAGAGTTCCATTTCTTGAACTTTTATGTACTGGTCATAACGACTCATCAGCTTGCTAACATTTTCCAAGGGGTCCACCAAGATACAATCTGGATGCTTATGAATGAAGTCCTGAAAACAAAAGAATAAAAAAAATTAATTTTTTTCTACATAAAGCAAATGAGTCACTACAAAGCAAAGACGACGGGAAAATGGAGCTTGGATTTTGGAAGCAAGTCATGCAAGTACAAGTAAAAAAATTGACGTAAACTTTACAATAGAAATGCTAGCTAATTATCATATGGTGTGCTATTCAGCCCAGTATGCTAATTTTGTTTGTTATACTGATGTTTCAGTCATTGTACACTCCAGACTTCTTCAGATGTCTGTATTTCAATTCATAACTTTCTTAGAATTTTGAACCAAACACTTTATTCAACCCTTGGGGTAGATACATCTTATCCTGCTTTCCATGCTCATATCTGTTAATGCCAACCTGTTTTATTCACTTCTAACAATGGTTACTTGCGTTGTGACAGACAATTTTTCTCACTAGAATCAGTCCAGGGTATGACAAACTACATCCAGAAGTGAGGGCTCTGGTCAGGATATTGGAGATTTTGAGGAGCATGGAACCACCTCTAAATTGCTACTGTTGCCCCAGTTCACCCTGACTCAGAGTGATAGCACCTGTTACGTCCCAAAAAAGAAAATATAAAAATACATTTTTAATGTAAAAATACCAGCAATAGATTTTTATTTTTAAAAAAATTACCTATCTTACATTTTTAAAGTGAAATAACCAGCAATACATTTAATCTGTAGCTGAAGGCATATAATTGTGTTCAAAATATATTTAACTGAAGCCATAGAATTGTGTTCCGATTATTTAGATTTCAGCATTAAATAACCCATAGAGGTGTTGATATACTGCTAACAAAAATCAACCTACCTCATCAGAGTATTTTTTGTTTAACCCTGTAAGCCAGTCAAGGTAGAGTCTAACAAAGAAAGAGGCAAAGTCCATGTGGACATGTGGGTAAGAATGGTAAACTCTAGATATGAAAAGGCCAATATTTTCGCCATCAAGAATGTATTCTCTTACAGCCTATTATTCATTCATGCATTGAATATTTTTACTGCATCTAGTCAAGGTACTATCATATTGACAAAACCGGAAGAAAAATCTGCAATGTTATCAGTCCTGACCTGGCATTTCAACTTCAATTATTTTCCCACCGCCATAATGTAGTTTCCCCGTGCATTTTCTATAAATATTTTCATGGGAATTGTATAGATCAGCATGCTTCTTTGGTTACTTTGCATTGTAATGGTTCTAAGTCATGCCTTTATTTACTTTCTCCCTATATATGAATGAATTTAGACCAAATACAGATCAAATATTAATCAGAATCCGACAAAATGATAAGGTAGAGAACAAATAGGAAGTGTTTATCAATCTAATGTATTTCGATTTTATTAAAGCTTCATCAGAGAATGAGATGTGGTGGAAAATAAATATATCATTCTCATGAATGAATTTAGACCAAATACAGATCAAATATTAATCAGAATCCACAAAATGATAAGGTAGAGAACAAATAGGAAGTGTTTATCAATCTAATGTATTTTGATTTTATTAAAGCTTCATCAGAAATGAGATGTATGGAAAATAAATATATCATTCTCATGAATGAATTTAGACCAAATACAGATCAAATATTAATCAGAATCCGACAAAATGATAAGGTAGAGAACAAATAGGAAGTGTTTATCAATCTAATGTATTTCGATTTTATTAAAAATGAGATTTGGAAAAACATCAGAGAATGAGATGTGGTGGAAAATAAATATATCATTCTCATTTAATGAATTCAAACCAATGAGACCAAATACAGATCAAATATTAATCAGAATCCGACAAAATGATAAGGTAGAGAACAAATAGGAAGTGTTTATCAATCTAATGTATTTCGATTTTATTAAAGCTTCATCAGAGAATGAGATGTGGTGGAAAATAAATATATCATTCTCATGAATGAATTTAGACCAAATACAGATCAAATATTAATCAGAATCCGACAAAATGATAAGGTAGAGAACAAATAGGAAGTGTTTATCAATCTAATGTATTTCGATTTTATTAAAGCTTCATCAGAGAATGAGATGTGGTGGAAAATAAATATATCATTCTCATGAATGAATTTAGACCAAATACAGATCAAATATTAATCAGAATGTGACAAAATGATAAGATAAAGAACAAACTTTATTTTTACTATATTTTATATTTTTTAATACTACTTTTTAGTACTACTGGTCTGATTCAACTCTGACCATTAACCTATATATATATATATATATATATATATATATATAAAAAAGGAAAGAGAGCAGAATAGATACATCAGATCATTTGTTGCTATAAACAGTGTGGACATACAAATCAACACTGCATGCAAACAGGCTTATTGATATGGGAACAGTGGTTCTTGTATGATCCCTGAAGTTAAGCAATGTCAACCATGGTCAGTACCTAGATGGGTGACTGCTTAGAAACACCAGGTACTTTAATCTTGGATGTGCAAGTGGTATAATGGATAATGGCTTGGAATTAGAAATTGTATAGCAGAGTTCCAATTCCAGGTGGGTTCGTTATATCCACTTGTGCAAAAATGCCCTAGGGAAAGGTAGAAATATGACACTTCTCCCTCCCAGCTATGGGTTAATTAGAAAATCTTGTAATACTAAATCATTATTTTCTCAAAAGAAAGTAGAAAGTAAAAAATTCTTGTTATCTAAAAATATTTTCTAGCATTAGATAAACTTTCATGGTTTCGTAAGCCGTAGAAAACAAAACAATTATGAATGCAGACCATGTCTAGAATGCCTTGTTTTCATGTTATCGATTGATATTTTTTCTTTGTGATTTAAGTGATTGTGACCTTGTGACAGCTGCACATCACAGTTAAGCACACACACACACACACAAAATGCACACATACACCACTTTCTGTCAAAACGGGTTCATGCCACTCAAATCAGAAAGGATGGTGGCGGTTGGTCGCTTGTATCCGAGTATGGTTTTCAGATACTTTCCAAAAGTGCTGCACACTGTGGTTGTCTCCCCCAGCTGGTAACATCAAGAAGTCATTTTACTGACTAATCGACCATGAGAATATTTGAACTCATGTCTCACTGTCAGAAAGCGAACTTTCTAACCACTCGGCCATGCACCTATATTTAGAAAGAATAAATACCAACCAAGAGAAATGCATCCTGGGAAGGCAAATCTGACAAGACAGTCATTTGCTTTTGTTTCACACAACTGCAGTAAAAGATCCTTATTTATATCATTAAAAGTTGTCTATTGCAATCAAGAAAAAAATATAAATACTGCAAACTCCCTGAAAAAAAAAAAAAAAAAAAAAAAAAAATTATGTTACTAGATAAAGTTTGTTTCACATTTCTAGCATATTTCAGTGATAATGCTTTCTTTTATACTAATTAGATTGCAAAATAAGAAATTTTTATGGCTTCAGTTCATTTCTCTAGGTAATTTGCCTAGATAATCTTATCATACCTCCTTACATAATTAGATAAAACAAATTCGTTAAATAAAGAAGCCTAAAAATATCCTCATAATAACCAGTACATACTTGGGACATTAACTTATCTGAAATTTGTTTTTTTAATTTCTATTCAAGTTCACCCCACACAAGCCACTAAGATGCAATGGGTTTCTGGGTGTGGAAGAATTTGAAAAGAGAAACATTGCTAAGGAGCAAGAACAAAAAAAGAGTAATCAGGAAAATAGTAGACAGTTGCAGATTATAGTTGGCTGGAAAGCATGGAGCCAAAAGGAAGTTGCAAAAAGTGCAAGAAAAGAAACTGTTAGCATAGAATATATGGTTATATCTAGCCAACTAGATATAACCATATCTTTTTATTATATAATTATAAATTGATGAGACCTCATTGCCACTCTAGTACTGCACTTGAATTTAAAGCATCTAGGTACCATACCAAAGAACTCATCTGAACAATTACCATGAGAGTATTTATAGAAAAGGCATATGGTGGCAATCTTACAGCAGTGGGAAAGAGACTGAAACCAAGACAGCAGAAGAGGGCTAATTTTTTTTTTTTTTTTTAAGCGTTTCACCCCAAGCAAGGCAAGAAGCCACTAGGATGCAAGGGGTTACAGAAAATTTGGAGCAAGATCAGATAGGAGTGATAGAAGAAAAGTTGTGGAGAAGGGTAGTGGATAGATCAAGGCAACTGGAGATGTCGATTGACATTACATTTGAATAGCTGGAGATTGCTCATGCTGCTTTAGATTTTATTAAGGGGGCTCTAGATGAATAGCAGGAGCACAAGACCATATGTGGCAGCATAGACTGGGCCCTATAGCCTTGGCTGGCAACTAGTCTAGGAGAAGAAGAACTGAATTCAAAACAGGCTGCGAATAGGTTCTGTCAGGCTGTCTTGCCCAAAGTAAACCACTGTTGCAATATGTGTGATGCCCCTATTACCCTAATGGGTTATAGGACTTTTATGATCAGGATTTCTTGAGCACTTTCATGTCAGACATGATTTTGCTAGTAATAAAGCAAAAAAAAAAAAAAAAAAAATTTTTAAAAAATTGATGGGTTATAATGTTCACTCTTTACTGCCATACACCCATTTGAGACATTTGTGGCCTGACATTAGATTCAAGCAACCCTTGTACTTTAAAGAAAATTTCCAATAAAAGAGTAATTCACTTATCAGTGATAGGTGTTGACCCAGTTTATTAAATGGAATGACCTGGACTTGATGGGTGGGGGACGTATCAGTCATATGGCCATTGAACAAAAAAAAAAAACACAAGACTATATGTATGTATTTTATCAGGATGTTATATACTTAGCCAAATCTCCAGGTTTTTAACTTAAATCCAAATAAATCCAGATAAATACAGTAATTAAAGGGTGATAAGCCGTAAAAATACAGTTATTCCTAACAATACTATGGATTTTCCATATTGAAATTTTGTAATTAAATATTTAAGAAATTCCTTATTTTAAATAATGCAAAATGATTTAAAACTGGAATTTAGTTTTAAAAATGGAATATTGATAAAAACATGCATATACTTATTTTTTTCAGTCATTTCATCCCAAGCAAAGCACTAAAGCCACTAAGATGTCGGGTGGGGTGTTTACCAAGTGTGAAAAACTCATTATTAAGGAGCAAGAACAATAAGAGATCCGAGACTGTACATAATAAATGACATTGCATCCAAATTTTTAAAAGATCAAAGTTGGCTGGAAATCAAAAAATGCAGAAGAGAGTTCCACGGGTAAAAGTGTGAAAAACACTTATATCACACCAATTCAACTGTAAAACAATGAGACCTAGCTGCCAATCTAGTACTGTGCTTAAATTCATAAAGTCTAGGTATCATAGAGCAAAGACCATCAGAACTGCTGTAACCATTACTATGACCCAAAGAAATCCTAAGTGTGTCCAAAATATTTAGATTTTGGCATTAAATAACCCATCGAGGTTAATATGCCACTAACCACCAACCAACACTGCTCCAGAAAAAAAAAAATGTTATCTTGCTCTCCATACCCAAAATAAAATTAGCACGTTCCCTGCACAAAGAATTAAAAGAAAAAAAAAAAAAAAAAGAAAAGACAGATAACACACTTCAAAATAGATCCAGAAATGATAAACCTAAAATTTTTTTTTTTTTTTTTTTTTCTTACAGGGACGTACAAGGTCCAGGGGTCACTTGATATAAATGGTTATAGAAAGGGCCAACACAAGGCACTGTCATCTTGGGCAGTCACTCCGGGTGCCATCATATCACCATGTCATCTTTTTGAGGTCTTCTACACTGTTGTGTAGGAATAAAGTGTTGTTGCTGACATGGTAGTTTGAACACAGATCACCAGTGAGCAATCACGGGCAATTCCATTATTAAATAAGTAGATCACGTGATCATAAAGGGAACATATAAATGGGAATTAGCATGATCACTATTCTCTATACTATCTACTATACTATTGAAATTTGTTTTGAAAATACACAATTAT